CAACCAAATGTTATAAAACTTACACACAATGCTAATTACGACAAAACACAGATCAAGTTCGAAATTGGGTGACGTCACTTTTACCGTTCATGAGTTCTGCCCATTATAAACATAAAAATTGCTGAATTTTTCGTTTCTGTTCTCTAACTTAAGTTTGCCTCAACCAAATGTTATGAAACTTTTACACAATGCTTATTACCACAAAACACAGATCAAGTTTGAAATTCAGTGGTGTCACTTTTACCTTTCTTGAGTTATGCCCCTTTATTATTATAAATTGAAAAATTGTTAAATCTGTCGTTTCCGTTCTCTAACTTTAGTTTGCCTCAACCAAATATTATGAAACTTATACACAATGCTTATAATCACTAAAGGGTATTAATTACGTGTATACTGCATTTGTATGTGGAAGTTGACTCATGCATATTTACAAGCGGGGGCATCTGTGGCCTATAGACACATTCTCCATTTATTTAACCTTTATCCAATAACATCATTCAACTTGGTTATTTTGAAATTCATTGTAATCAGATGTAATCATGATTACTTGCCAATGTTATCATTAATTTAATAGTTACTTTGAGAAATGGTGTAATCATTAATTTGATAAGTTACTTTGAGAAATGGTGTAATCATTAATTTAATTTAATTGTACAACTGACAAAGTAATTGTACTTTAATCAATTACATTGAAAGTAATCAGACCTATCTCTGACAGACACTCAAGTAGAATACATATCCTTGTCATGTTTTTGGTTTGACATGGGTAACAAGTGACTGGAAATGTTAAGCTCTTGGTATGAGATCTCACAACCCCTTTGATAGGATTTCATCTCATGTTTTTGGTGATGGATGGACCTTACTAGTGACTGGAAATCTTAAGTTTGTTTTATGAGAACTCATAGTCCCTCAGATATGATTTCCTGTCTTGTTTTTGTTTGACTGCCTCACTAGAGACTAAAAATCTTAAGCTTGTATGTATGAGATCTCACATAGGATATCCTCTCATGGTTTTGGTTGCAGAGGCCTCACTAGTGACTGGAAATCTTAAGCTTGTTTGTGTGAGATCTCACAGTCCCTCAGATAGGATATCCTCTCACGTTTTTGGTTGTAGAAGCCTCACTAGTGACTGAAAATCTTAAGCTTGTTTGTATGAGATCTCGCAGTCCCTCAGATAGGATATCCTCTCATGGTTTCGGTTGTTGAGGCCTCACTAGTGACTGGAAATCTTATGTTTAGTTTGTATGAGACCTCACAGTCCCTCAGATAGGATATCCCATCATGGTTTTGGTTATAGAGGCCTCACTAGTGACTGGAAATCTTAAGCTTGTTTGTATGAGATCTCACAATCTCTCAGATTGGTTATCCTCTCATGGTTTTGGTTGTAGAGGCCTCACTAGTGACTGGAAATCTTAAGCTTGTTTGTATGAGATCTCACAATCTCTCAGATTGGTTATCCTCTCATGGTTTTGGTTGTAGAGGCCTCACTAGTGACTGGAAATCTTAAGCTTGTTTGTATGAGATCTCACAATCTCTCAGATTGGTTATCCTCTCATGGTTTTGGTTATAGAGGCCTCACTAGTGACTGGAAATCTTAAGCTTGTTTGTATGAGATCTCACAATCTCTCAGATTGGTTATCCTCTCATGGTTTTGGTTGTAGAGGCCTCACTAGTGACTGGAAATCTTAAGCTTATTTGTATGAGATCTCACAGTAGTTGACCTTATCTGCGTAAAGATGTGCAATTTATTTCAGGTAGGCGGTATTGGTAGCCTTTTCCTCAATTCCTCTGCCCATATCTTAAACTTGGATATGTATGATGGCTTGTTTCTAAGCTGAGACATTTCACAGATGTGGTTAAATTTTTGGGTTACGAAGTGAAATTAGACTTTTCTCAAATTGGTGAACTAAAGGCCCATGTGATGCCTCTTCAGCAAGTGAAAAGTCCCTATTTTCACACAGTTACATTCTCTTGAAATTCAGTTCTTTACAATCATTTAATAACTCCAAAGTTTTTACATCTTTATTGTACAGTTGTCTGCTCTTCAAAAAAGCACAAATGGTTAAGCTCAGTCATTTACTGAAAATAACATTATGTCCAATAGCATTGCATACAGGTTTTTGTCGAGCCTGCGACTTTTGTCGCAGAAAGCTCAACATAGGGATAGTGATCCGGCGGGGGCGTTAGCTAACTTCTTAAAAGGTTTATATTTTCCAAGGTGGAAGACCTGGATGCTTCATACTTTGTATATAGATGCCTTATGTTATGAAGTTTCTGTCTGTCATATGTCCATTGTCTTTGACCTCATTTTCATGGTTCAGTGACTACTTGAAAAAAAAGGGAAGATTTTTTTGTAATGTTAAATTCTCTCTTATTATGAGTAATAAATAGGATAACTATATTTAAGATGTGCATACCTTGCAAGGTCCTCATGCCTGTCAGACAGTTTTCATCTGACCTCGACCTCATTTCATGGATCAGGGAACAAGGTTAAGTTTTCGTGATCAAGTTCAAATATCAGATACTATAAGCAATAGGTCTTCTATATTTGGTGTATGGAATGATTGTAAGGTGTACATGTCCAACTGGCAGGTGTCATCTGACCTTGACCTCATTTTCATGGTTCAGTGGTTAAAGTTAAGTTTTGTGTTTTGGTCTTTTTTTTCTAATACTATATGCAATAGGTCAACTATATTTGGTGTATGGAAATATTTTACATTCAATGTACATGTCAGACTGGCAGGTTTTATTTGACCTTGACCTCATTTTCACGGTTCATTGAATTGCTCAGTGTTTAGTTTTTGTGTTTTGGTCGGTTTTTCTTAAACTATAACAGTATAACCAAAAGGACAACTATATTTGTTGTATGGAATGATTGTAAGGTGTATATGTCTGTCTGGCAGGTATCATCTGACGTTGACCTCATTTTCATGGTTCATTGGTCAATGTTAAGTTTTCATGGTTAAGTTTGTTTTTTAGATACTATAAGCAATAGGTCAACTATATTTAATGCAAAGATTGATTGTAAGGTGTACATGTCTGTCTGGCATAGTTCATCTGACCTTGACCTTATTTTCATGGTTCATTGGTCAATGTTTAGTTTTCCTGTTTAAGTCTGTTTCTTAGAAACTATAGGCAATAGGTCAACTATATTTGGTGTATTGAATGATTGTAAGGTGAAAATGTATTTCCGGTTTGGTTTATCTGACCTTGACCTCATTTTCTTGGATCATGTTAAGTTTATGTGATACTTTTAGTAAAGCTTTATATTTAGGACTATCAACATAAAATCGATGGTCAGTAAAGAAGGCGAGACATTTCAGCGTGTGCACTCTTGTTTATTTCTATTTATAGTTGTGTACCTCACTTTGAGACGCATTAGGGATATTGATCCATCTACAATCTGTCGATACCTGTATCTTGGCATTGCACAAGGTTATGTTTTTATGCCCCCTCCGTTACTTATGCCCCCACCGTAATGGAGGGGGCATTAAGTTTTATCCTTGTCCGTTTGTACATCCGTCTGTATGTCCCAAAATTGGTTTCCGTTCTGTAACTTTCATCTGCCTCAACCAAATGTTATGAAACTTATACACAATGCTTATTACCACAAAACACAGATCAGATTTGAATTTGGTTGGCGTCACTTTTACCTTTCTAGAGTTATGCCCTTTACAAATGGAAAAATTGCTGAATTTTTGTTTCCATTCTCTTACTTAAGTTTGCCTGAACCAAATGTTATAAATCTTATACACAATGCTTATTACCACAAATCACAGATCAAGTTTGAATATTGGTGGTGTCACTTTTACAGTTCTAGAGTTATGCCCCTTTACCAATGGAAAAATTGCTGAATTTTTCGTTTCCAATACACAATGCTTATTACCACAAAACTCAGATCAAGTACTTTTACTGTTCTTGAGTTATATCCCTTTATAACATTATATTCAAGCGGGAGCATCATCTGTGTCACATGGACACATTCCCCATTTATTCTCTGACTGTTAATGACACCTTTTCACTAAATCCATTGGATGTTGGATGTGTACTGATTGATATTTTAGTCTTTGATGCATGATTTTTTCATTAGTTGTTATTGGCTTTGAACTAGCTGTCAGTAATTGTGAGTACTCTTAGATCTGTACTTAGTGTCTTTTTTGTTGTTGGGGTGTATAAATATCCTGCCATGTCCGGTCTGTGTTTTTGTTAGATGTTTTTCTGCTTTGTATGGATCTGATGAGTTAAGCCCTTTTCAACTGATTTTCATAGCTTGTTTCATGTTGTATATATATACTCTTACACCACTGTCCCAGGTTAGGGGGGGGGGGTGGATTTAGCGACAACAAACTAGTTTAACCCCGCCACATTTTGTATGTGCCTTTCCCAAGTCAGGCGCCTGTAATTCAGTGGTTGTTGTTTGTTGCTGTATATCATATTTGTTTTTCGTTCATTGTTTTTTTTTACATATATGGGGCCATTTAAGTTTTCTTCTTTGAATTGTTTTACATTTGTCATTTCAGGCCTTTTATAGCTGACTATGCAGTATAGGTTTTGCTCATGGTTGAAGGCCGTACGGTGACCTATAGTAGTGAACGTCTAAGTCATTTGGTCTCTAGTGGATAGTAGTCTCATTTTGTCGCAAGAGATACTGCTGTTGAATTTATTTTTACTAAGGATTTTTTGGTGATGCATAGGCAAATTTTGACATTCCTTTCTCAGACCTATTTTCACGCCATCAACCTTGTGACAAAAAAAAACAACCATTAACTGCCAGGCATACCTTTAATTCTTTGGCAAGTCGAAATCCATAGGACACATAATTTTTGGATCCAATAACATGATTTTGGAAACAAACAATTAGTGATCAATTGTGTTAACCTTTCTGCTATAAATATTTTATGCTTAAAGCTTTACTTAAACACACACACACTAAAACTTACTCATTCAGTGATTAAGATATTGCAATATTTATAGGCAAAGTGAAAATGCTGTGAACATGGTGAAGTGCAATGATTTATTGACTCTATAAAAGTATATAACAATGTATATGCTTATTTCAATTATAACAAAATTTGATGTAAAACAACAAAAAATTGTGAAAAATGTTATTACAGGCATATTACAGTAACAATTGTAGCTGTCTCATTTTATGTCCTAAATTGTCTTTAATAGTTACACAATTTAATGTTTCCACTTGTCGGAAACTACCAACTAAATATCTAGCAAATTTGCATATATATAAAGAAACAAAATTAAAAAGGAAAACAAATCATCCTATCAATTAAAAGTTAAAAATTGTAAACTATTTTGTTACATTTTTTGTTTTTAATTACAAATTTAAGCAAACTTAAATCAATAAATTGAAACAATGCAGTTGCATTAAAATATATACTTGAAACTAAGGAGATCTAACCAAATGTCTATTAATGGTAAATTCACTAAATAATCCATACATTTATTATCACTATTTATCCAATGGAATATGTATCCAATGGAATATCTGCTGCATTTAGGTGTTCTGCAGTGGATGCAAAAACATATACATGTATGCTACAATAGAAAAACAAAGGATATGGGGTATCAATCAGTGACTCAAAATCAGTACATGCACAACAAAAAACACACAAAAAGCAAAGAACAGCACTTTTATTGGTGTTCTTCATCTCAAAGTCACAGTGAGGCCTTCAACACGGAGCAAAAAAAAAATGAATAAATAAAAAACTCTCACTTCACTGCAAGTTTATTTCTCAGCAGTATTAAATGGGTAAATTCAAATACCACATAGAAAATTACTGTAAACTAGCTTGTCCTGATAAGTATTTTATCAGTTGAAGATTAATTTGACTTGAACAATTCATGGCTTCATTATTAGGAATACCAGGTTAGAGGTTTTAACTACATGTACTAGGAGTCTCTTGTGAACAGCAATGGCTTTTGTGTCATTTCAGAGTTTCCATATGATAACTTTTATTCTAGTGAAGTTATTTGTCCAATGAATTTTATTATAAAGCATAATATAAAAAAGCTTGTATGACAATGTCAATGTGATCTTTAATTATTTCCTTTAAAAAATCCAAATTGAAATTGTGGCTCTACTCAATTCTATGTGGCAACTAGTGTTAACAATTACTGTGTTTTCTTCTTGAGTCAGGCATCAGCTGAGTTGTTGCAGTCTGTATGCAGCACTTGTTCGGTAAGTCTCATCTAGCTGTGTAGCGAAATAAAAAAGAATTCTTGCTCTATACCTGTAACCTAACATCTGAAGAACTACTCCAAGTGAAACCAGTCCAATAACATCTAGTTCTCCTTTTAAAGCGTATTCATGAGTTGTTTTAAATAGCTGATTTTTACTATACCAACATGATTTCAAGTCCTGGAGATGGTAACAACACAGAAAACGAAGGAAATGTGCACATTGTGTGGATTTTAAGAAAATAGGATATTTCCTGACATCAAACTTTAGTTCCATAGGGATGACTGATGATTGTTTTTCAAATGTGACACATGGATTTGGTAATGTCTTCAACAGTGATATAAGCTTCATTTTCTGTCTCTGTTTCAATGTTATATTTGGAACTGCTGAATCATCTGTACATTTGGACAAAGTGTAATTTATTATGTCTATTGATGTTGAATAATTCTTATGTACATAGAAGAAAGAGGCCAATTTCAGCCACCCTGACACTGCATCTGATTGTAAACCAACTAACAACTGACTGAGATCATGTTTGTAGTTTTTGTATTGTTGTTTATTGTTTGGGTTATTTTTATGTGGTAGTGCAAGAGGTATTCTTTGATAAGTATTTGCAATTGACAGTGCTAATAAACATTTAGATAATTCTGTTTTACAATGATACAGCAAAGTTTTGTGCATACTTGGGATGTTTATAAAAACTGCCTCAAATGGAATAAAATCATACTCTAATATTGTTTTCATCAATGTGGTATTGTCACAAACTGATTTTGTAATTTCACATGGAAACCTGTAATCCTGCAAAGTCTCAGATGATAAAAAAATATGAATTCCTATTTGATATGAATTCTTAAGGGTGTTGATTAATGTGTTTCTTTGTTTACTGTTAAATCTTAGATAGAACAAGTTGTTATCAGGAATGAAATAATGTAACAATGTGGAATATTCTATACAGTATAATAACTTTTGTAAACAGGCCATAAAACAGGGTATAATATTGTATGGTCTCCAGACTGATGTTTCGGTTTCCTCTAAAATCCAAAACATTAGAGTCTTCAAAAAGTATGAGCACAATAAACCTTTTAAATCTTCATTTCTATTTACTATTTCTTTCAATGAAATTTTTAGCAAAGCATAGCATAGTAACTGGGTATGATTAAAGGAAAATATCAGTACTTTTTCTGCTACAGAAAATGATATTCGCCACTGAAGATTCTCATTTATAGATCCCTTGTAGCCGATTGGTACAAATAAAACACCGCATGAAGTAATTTTAGAAATAAGCTCAGGGGTAGGCCATATTAAACGTGATCTAGAGATCCATGGTTGTGCTAAAGATACCCACTGATCACATTTTAAACAGTATGCATTATCAATATTATCATTACTGTCTGATAAGCATGGACCATGAATTTTGTTTATCCGTGGATCAGTAAGACCTTTTGATAGTCCTAAATTGTTTAACATGAAAAGCTGACTTGAAAGTAGGTTCTCTCCTCTGTGTTGTTGTAGCATTTGTTTAATAAAATATGGTATATTTTCATAATCAGTATACACTTGTAGATGTGTAAAACATGGCTGTGTGTCCTCATTATCCATGACTAACACAATTGGGGGAATCCAAGAACAATCCTGAACAGCATCTTTTTCAGATTCATATACTACAAAGGCATAATTAACATACATCACATCAAGATCACTACCTTTTAGATGTAGTCCTTCTCCCTTACTTCCACTGGTTATTTGAGTAAAAGGAGGCCATAATCTGCCAGATTTCAAGTCTCTATATATATATAACAGTCGTCTAGCTCTTACTACTTCCACCGATCCAATCTTCTGACATAGATATTTATAAAAATGCAAGGATTCTGTTTTACTGTGACACATAGTTTTTTAATTTTGGAGAGATTCTAAATATTTTCTATTTTTTCCTGAATTTGGTTTCTGGTAGATAGCACTGTATTACTATATAGATAGTCTTTTATCCTTGCTCTGGTTTCTAGATCAGGTACTGTATTATTATCTAGATAGCCTTTTATCGTTGTTATGTTTTCTGGATGGTACTATATTATTGTCTAGATAGTCTTTTATTCTCGTTATGATTTCTGGATGGTACTATATTATTGTCTAGATATTCTTTTATCCCTGGTAAGGTTTCTGGATGGTACTATATTATTGTCTAGATATTCTTTTATCCCTGGTAAGGTTTCTGGATGGTACTATATTATTGTCTAGATATTCTTTTATCCTTGGGAAGGTTTCTGGATGGTACTATATTATTGTCTAGATATTCTTTTATCCTTGGGAAGGTTTCTGGATGGTACTATATTATTGTCTAGATATTCTTTTATCCTTGGGAAGGTTTCTGGATGGGACTATATTATTGTCTAGATAGTCTTTTATTCTCGTTAAGATTTCTGGATGGTACTATATTATTGTCTAGATATTCTTTTATTCTTGTTATGGTTTCAGGATGGTACTATATTATTGTCTAGATAGTCTTTTATTCTTGTTATGGTTTCAGGATGGTACTATATTATTTTCTAGATAGTCTTTTATTCTTGTTATGGTTTCAGGATGGTACTATATTATTTTCTAGATAGTCTTTTATTCTTGTTATGGTTTCAGGATGGTACTATATTATTGTCTAGATAGTCTTTTATTCTCGTTATGATTTCTGGATGGTACTGTATTCTTTCTCTCCTAGTTATGGGTTCTGGTTGATGTTACTGTATAGATATGTAGATCTTCTTCATCCTTATAATGTTTTCTGGTTTATGGTACTGTATTGTCTTGATGATCTTTCTCTCTTGTAATTGTTTCTGGTTGATGAATCTGTATTATTGTCTAGATATTCTCTCTATCCTTGGAATGGTTTCTGGATGATACTGTAATATTGTCTAGTCTTTTATCTTTGTGATGGTTTCTGGTGGATGGTACTTTGTTATTGTCTAAATAGTATTTTTTTATTGATGATTTTCTCTTGATTTTCCTGTGAAATAAACAATAGAAGTGTCTGTTGAAAAGTAAACTGTTAACACAGATATGTGTCTCGCCTGCTTATAATTTTTATAGTAAAATGCAAATATTGAAATTAAAAATAGCAATACTATAACATGTAATTTATGCAAAATACTCAAAAGTCAATGAACCATGACTAATGGAACAGGGCCAAATGATATCTGAGATATAAGATATGCCAATGATAATACAACTGCATACTAGATACCACTGACTAATTTTCATACATGGTTCCCCTTAAACTGACCTGATCACAGACTTATACATGTAAACTATGCAAAAGTTTCTAAGTCAATAGACCATGACTGGGGGGCTGGGCCAAATTATCTCCATGGAAATGAAATGTACCAAAGCTGATACAACTGCATACCAAAAATCATTGACTTATCATAAGCAGTTCCCCCTAAACTAACTGATCACAAACTTTTAACATGTAATCAATGCAAAAGTTTCAAAGTCAATAGACCATGACTGAGGGGGCAGGGCCAAATAATCTCCATGGAAATGAGATGTGCCAAAGTTTATACATCTCTGCATTTGGTCTCTGGTGGATAGTTGTCTCATTGGTAATGATACCACAACATCCTTATTTTTTATATATGTTGGGGCTGGCAAAGCTTTTTTTATTGATAACACATCTACTCGTTGTACATATATATATATATATATATTAAGGGAAATGACTTTATAAATGAATTAATTATTTAATGAACTTATTAAATCTGGTTGTAGAATCATTTGATTAATTTTGGTATATGTGTTTTTTTTTCATAGAATAATATATATTTAGAATTATTTGAAATGAGGAAATATTTTATAACATTTATAATTTTGTAGAAGTGAGGGAGGTTCTACTTACAGGGATTTTTCATTCTTTGTCATTAAGTACAAATGACGTGATGGAATTTCCTCGAACAGAAGTACGAACTAGGAAAAGTTTCTCTTTACTGAAACTGAAAGATAACACAGTTTCAGTAACACATCATAAATATATTGAATTGTTCATTATAAATATGAAAAAATTATATTTGAAAATAAGGTGATGCCAATGAGAAAACTATTCACCATTTCATTTCATATTGTTTACTTTGTTAATGTCCAGAATTACATATTCACATAAATAAATGCAAGACAGTATACTATGTAATATTTTTGTGTAATAGTGATTTGTTTCTTTGTATTAGAAAACTGAATGTAGAAAAACATTTTATATTTGCTGAGATAAATTTTTTCTCGTTTTTTTAAATTCATAAATTCTGTTTATAATAATGTTCCATTAATGTTTATATATTGGCATTGTAAATAAAGCCCAAAGATTACACCCCCTTTCCATCTGCCCCTCCACCTGTCAAAAAAATAAGAAAAAGAAAATATGTGGTCTACAAAAAAAAAATTGTCAATATTGTCGGGAGAAATTAATATGATGATTTATGGATAAAAAGTGAAATAATTGAGGCTTGATTTGGTATTGTTCCAGTTTTTAAACTTTTATTTTTACTTGCCCATTTTTCAGGTAAAGTGCAGCTTTTACATGCTCAAGAATGACTTTCACTTGTCATGGGCTATCAGACAAAAGTTTGTGTTTAACGTTTATGTCAAACCCAAAAATGTTAATGTCAAACCCTGACAAAAGTATTTTGTAGTAGTTAGTTTTCTCCTTTGAATTGTTTTACATTTGTCATTTTGGGGCATTTTATAGCTGACTATGCAGTATGGGTTTAGCTCATTGTTGAAGGTCGTATGGTGACCTATAGTTGTAAACTTCTATGTCATTTGGTCTCTGGTGGAGAGTTGTCTCATTGGCAATTATACCAGATCTTATTTTTATAAGTATAGCAATATACTTCAAATTTCTGCTGAAATATTTTTGTTGTCTATGTGTCTGCTCATTTAAATTTGTAAATACCTGTAGAAATCACATAACTTGTAAAAACCTATAGAAATCACATGATTTGTAAAAACCTATAGAAATCATATGATTTGTAAAAACCTGTAGAAATCACATGTTTTGTAAAAACCTGTAGAAATCACATGATTTGTAAAAACCTGTAGAAATCACATGATTTGTAAAAACCTATAGAATTCACATGATTTGTAAAAACCTGTAGAAATCACATAATTTGTGAGACTTTATCGAAGAAATGTGTAAATATATACCTTTAGCCACTGCTATAGTGAGCAGCAGAGATACAACTTTGATAGGTGTGGTTATTAAATACAGTTCTGGTTATTTCTGCTCAATATTCATCTATCTACGCAGTTATGCAATACAAATTTATTTGAAGATAGCTGGAATCTTGCTTGTCATATACAATACAGAAAAATGTATACCTCGATCTGATATAAACTATAACTGTGACTTACAGTTTTTATTGCCCCATTGGTACATGTAGCTTCATACTTTTTCTTGATTTTTTCCTTTAAACTGATTCCCTTAAGAACCGACTATTCATAGTTATTTTTAAGGGCATGGTTGTTTTTTGGGATGAAATTTTTTTATTCTGATTTTCTTAAAAGAGTTTCAGAAGGGCAGTGAAAAAAATGGTTTGTTTCCATTGAAATTTTGGAAAAAAATAAATACAACATTTATTTATAAGGTTTCAAAAATAAATTTCTGTTTCCTGTATTTTATTGGAAAAAAAAATCGATCTTTTTTTTTTTTTTTATTAAAGATGAATGGTTGGAGCCTAATGGCATGACATTTTCAATTTAAGGGATATCAGCATTATAAAAACAAACCAAGTAAGGTCCAATTTTATCATTTGCCCACATCAAAGCTGCCCAAAATTATTAGTATTTCTTTGAGCCATTTAATTCATTTGTTGTCTAAATAACTCATAACATGTTTACTTTACCTACCTTCTAATTAAACTGCAGGCATTTACTCATTTTTTTCTAAGTACATAAACTTTCAGGATCTTTCCAGGTCTCACATAGAAAATGATTCTTGAATGATGAAATCTTTGTATATATATATATATAAGTGCTTTGTGAAATGAGAACTTACTTATATATAGGCAGACAAACTCAGTTTCCAAGTATAGTGTTAGATCGATGAAAAGATAATATCAAAATCCCCATTGAGATTGATGATAGATAATTAAAAAAAAACTAATAAAATTAAAAGGATTCTTAGTTTTCTTTCCATCAAAACTTTCACTTCACAAATCATTTAAAACATCAAATACTTATAAAATGCAAAATTTTGTTTGCAAAACCTAGATCTGAGGGCTTAAAAAATTACTATTTGTATTTCTCTCCACTAATTGAAAGTTATTCACAAATCTGACTCAATTGCAATTTGTTTAATCAAGTCAAACTGGTCTCCTGGTCAGAAATTTTACCAAATTTTAGATTTAGAAGAACCACAGTCAAGTCATCAATGTTAAAGCAAAGTCAAAAAAAAAAACAAAGCATAATAACAAGCCTTTCAGATTTGAATTCCACTTTTTTCGCATTTAATAATCTGACAGTTGTCTTATGGAAGCAAGCTCTCCTTGAGGTTTGATCCCTGGTCCAGTCAAACCAAAGTGTTGAAAGTTGTTATTTTTATGCCCCCGCCGTAGCGTAGGGGGCATTAAGTTTTACCCTTGTCCGTCTACATACTTACATACGTCCGTACGTCCCAAAATTGGTTTCCGTTCTCTAACTTGAGTTTGCCTCAACCAAATGTTATGAAACTTATACACAATGCTTATTACAACAAAATACAGATCAAGTTTGAATTTTGGTAGCGTCACTCTAACTGTTCTAGAGTTATGCCCCTTTATAAATGGAAAAATTGCAAAATTTTTAGTTTCCATTCTCTAACTTAAGTTTGCTTCAACCAAATGTTATGACACTATACACAATGCTTTTTACCACAAAACACAGATCAAGTTGAATTTTGGTGGCGTCACTTTAATCATTATCGAGTTATGCCCCTTTATAAATCGAAAAATTGCAAAAATTTTAGTTTCCGTTCTCTAACTTAAGTTTGCCCTTACCAAACATTATGAAACCTTTAGGAGGTACACCACTAATTCATGACCCCGTTGCTTTCTATGTTAAATTCCTCAATTTCAAGCAGACACAGCTCTTTTGTTTCAAGTTCAAATAAAGTGACAATCATTGCATGTCAAAGCAACACTTTATGGTGTCTTGTACTGGAAAAATCAACATACCTTTAATGGCATATAAGAAAGAACTGGTTCCTGGAACTTCGGATGTACCAAAACAGGTACTTCAGATCTGACATACAGGCAAAAAGTACCCTCTTTATAAAATTTGGTGCAGTTTTTTTAATATTCAAAATTATAAGTCAAAAAGTGTTCTACAATGATCACCAGTCATTCAGCTTTCATTTGATACCAACAATACCTAAATATTCTACATATTTTGAAAGTTACACTCATGCGTAGGAACTATTTTGTGTTAAATATATACTACTTTCTGGTATGTGCTTTCTGGCCGGGCCGAATTAGTGGTGTTACACCTATAACAGAACCAAACTTGCTATATTGACTTCAGCATTACTTTATTTAATTCTATGATCTATTTCAAGCAATAAAAAACACATAAAGCTTAAGTCCAAAATCTATTTTACTAATTTTAAGCTCAAATTGGACTGGTAGTAACATATAGGTTATTCAAAGAAAACTGCATATGGATATTATAAATGGCCAATATACTTATTTTATTCTCAATATCATTGTTGTATTTAATAATTTCTGTTAGGAAATCAATGTGCTTACCAATAGTCATATTTCACCAGAGTTTGTTCATTTAATAAAAATATATTAGACCAAACCTAAGACATAATTGAGAAAGTTGTCCCCCCTTTTTTCTTCAAATTGGAAAAGGGACATTTTTGGTATAAACCATACTTCTGTGGTACAACATAGATTATAAAGAGCAATTTATATATATTTCAGCTGGATAACTTGCTAAACTGGTTCAAAATTGTATGTACAGTGAGATTTTGGAAGTCTTATATGAGTATATACCAATTGCCTAGATTGTAAAAGGCTATCATAAGAAAACCAATAAAACTTGAAAATCATAGGATTATTTGACCAAGAGCTATTTTTTTACCATAAACAAGTCATTATATACATGTTTTATTGATTGCAATCCCAAATAATGCAAACATAAGAATTTGGAGTCAAGTCTTAACTGCATGCATGTTGTGTGACCATAAAAGGCTAAAATACCTGATTATGTCAATTTAAGAGCTGAAATTTCCCATAAACAGAATTGTTCATCCAAAAAAGATGATTAAACATGTTTACTTACATCAAATATGACTTATTTTCATTGGAATAGGTACAACTTCTAAAAATTGAATTTCTGATGATTCTCTGTAATATAACAGAACCAAACTTGCTATATTGACTTCAGCATTACTTTATTTAATTCTATGATCTATTTCAAGCAATAAAAAACACATAAAGCTTAAGTCCAAAAACTATTTTACTAATTTTAAGCTCAAATTGGACTGGTAGTAACATATAGGTTATTCAAAGAAAACTGCATATGGATATTATAAATGGCCAATATACTTATTTTATTCTCAATATCATTGTTGTATTTAATAATTTCTGTTAGGAAATCAATGTGCTTACCAATAGTCATATTTCACCAGAGTTTGTTCATTTAATAAAAATATATTAGACCAAACCTAAGACATAATTGAGAAAATTGTCCCCCCTTTTTTCTTCAAATTGGAAAAGGGACATTTTTGGTATAAACCATACTTCTGTGGTACAACATAGATTATAAAGAGCAATTTATATATATTTCAGCTGGATAACTTGCTAAACTGGTTCAAAATTGCATGTACAGTGAGATTTTGGAATTCTTATATGAGTATATACCAATTGCCTAGATTGTAAAAGGCTATCATAAGAAAACCAATAAAACTTGAAAAATCATAGGATTATTTGACCAAGAGCTATTTTTTTACCATAAACAAGTCATTATATACATGTTTTATTGATTGCAATCCCAAATAATGCAAACATAAGAATTTGGAGTCATGTCTTAACTGCATGCATGTTGTGTGACCATAAAAGGCTAAAATACCTGATTATGTCAATTTAAGAGCTGAAATTTCCCATAAACAGAATTGTTCATCCAAAAAAGATGATTAAACATGTTTACTTACATCAAATATGACTTATTTTCATTGGAATAGGTACAACTTCTAAAAATTGAATTTCTGATGATTCTCTGTAATAGGAAGTTCACCACTAATTCATGGCCCCATTGCTTTCTATGTTAAATTCCTCAATTTCAAGCAGACACAGCTCTTTTGTTTCAAGTTCAAATAAAGTGACAATCATTGCATGTCAAAGCAACACTTTATGGTGTCTTGTACTGGAAAAATCAACATACTTTTAATGGCATATAAGAAAGAACTGGTTCCCGGAACTTCGAATGTACCAAAACAGGTACTTCAGATCTGACATACAGGCAAAAAGTACCCTCTTTATAAAATTTGGTGCAGTTTTTTTAACATTCAAAATTATAAGTCAAAAAGTGTTCTACAATGATCACCAGTCATTCAGCTTTCATTTGATACCAACAATACCTAAATATTCTACATATTTTGAAAGTTACACTCATGCGTAGGAACTATTTTGTGTTAAATATGTACTACTTTCTGGTATGTGCTTTCTGGCCAGGCCAAATTAGTGGTGTTACACCTTTACACAATACTTATTACCACAAAACTCAGATCAAGTACAAATTTGGGTAGCGTCACCTTTAATGTTCTTGAGTTATGTCCCTTTATAATGTTGTATGCAACAGCAAGCGGGGGCATCATATGTGTCCATGGGGACACATTCTCCATTTATTGCAAAGGACCATTTTGTTGCTTCTCTGCTAAGCATGCCACATCTAGGAGTAAGAACAAATACTGGTTGGCTCAGATAATGTGTCCGGGTAGGGTGACATGTTTTCCTACAGACTGTTATCTTATGAACTATAAAATAAAATTGAGAATGGAAATGGGGAATGTGTCAAAGAGACAACAACCCGACCAAAGAGCAGAAAACAGCAGAATGCCACCAATGGGTCTTCAACACAGCGAGAAAATCCCACACCCGGAGGCGGGCTTCAGCTGGCCCCTAAACAAAAATGTGTACTAGTTCAATGAAAATAACGTCACACTAAACTCCAAAACATATAAGTGAACTAAAATTAAAAAACATACAAAACTAACAAAGGCCAGATTAAGTATCCAGCTCAGCATGTACAAAGCAGGATTCCTATTCATAACATGTTATCTTCCTGATATGCATCTAATAGTTGCCACTGGACATTAAACACCAATCTATCATCATCTTCAGCAATACAACTGTACAGGTGTATTTCTTTATATCCTACCTTCAATAGACTTTAGGGAACTTAATTGGTTGTACCATGTCACATGCTGACCATGTATATCTAATACACAGTGTGAACAAGAGTTATTTACATAGCCTGATATATAAAACGGCATCTGTTAGATATTCAAAAATTAGTAATAATTTTCCAAGTATCAGATAGAAAAATTGATAGGGGATAAATATTACGCAGTCCTTCAGTGACCTATTCTCTCATTCCATATAAAATTTATTGACCGTTTATATACCATATTAGGTCACTGACAGCGTGTGTAATATGTAATGCATGTATGTACCTATTGTTAAGTCATATGAAAGATAAAGTAGTCAGTTTGAATTATTGAAAGTAATTGTCAAGTCCCAAGTTTTCACACTACTGGCATGACTGGTATTCCTTCTTAGTTAAATATCTTCTTTATTTACAGACATCAATTTGAATTTAAGCATGTAATATTCAGTGGAACTAGAACACACCCGTGACATCGCAGGTCCGTGACTGAATTAAAGTACCTATACATATGGTCGGGGAGGAGGTAAAGAATCAGATTTACTCTAACATTATTAGGTTGATTTTCTAGTCACTTTATATATA